ACAATGTAGCTTCCAATTGGCCCCCATAGTCTGGGCTAGTCCCTGCAGGACTTTACTAACAAAAGCCGGACCGTTATCTGACCCAATTGCCTCGGGCACCCCATATCTGGGTATGATTTCCTCTAGCAAAGCCTTTGCCACTACCTGACTCGTCTCCTTCTTTGTAGGAAAAGCCTCCACCCAGCCTGAAAAGGTATCTATGAATACCAGCAAATATTTGTACCCAAACTTTCCCGGTTTTACCTCAGTAAAATCCACTTCCCAACTTCTTCCCGGAGCCCTCCCCCGTTCCCGAGTACCTGTATGGTGCCCCTCCCTTCGTCCTGGTTTCATGATTGTGCAGCTGGCACAATCTTCCACAATTTGGCGGACTGCTATGGTCTGGTTCGGAAATCGGAGCTGCGCAGATGTCAACAAGTCTAGTAATTTTCTCCGCCCCAAATGGGTGGACTTATGTAAGTTAGCCAACAGGAATCGTCCGAGTTTTTCAGGCAGAATTAACTTGCCTTCCAAGTCGCTTTTCCATCCGTTTCCCCTTCTCTAAAGGGGGAGTGGGCTCTCATCCAGTGAAATCCTCGTGGAGTATTCTGGTCGGGGGGGTGTGGGGGGGAGCGAAGGAGCTCTGGGACAGGCACGTCTACAGCGCGACCATGGAAGGACTCACCATTGCTACTCTCTTTGCTTCTTGATCTGCTCTGTTGTTACCGACAGCTTCCGGCGTCTTGGCAGACTGGTGGCCTGGGACATACATCACTGCCACTGCCTTCGGTTTTTCCACTGCCATTAATAGACGCTGGACTTCGGCTAGGTTCTTTAGATTTTTCCTTCTGCTGTGCGGAATCCTCTTTCGCAATAGATGGCCCCGTGGACATGGATGGTACCGAAAGCATAGCGGCTATCGGTGTAGATATTAACTCTCTTTCCTTTTGCCCTCTCCAGGGCCTCTGCCAAGGCAATTAATTCCACTTTTTGGGCTGAGGTTCCAGGTGGGAGGGCGCTGCTCCATACCGTATCTCCTTCTTGGTCGACTACAGCTGCCCCTGCCCTTCGGGCTCCATCTTGGAAAACTGCTTCCATCCGTGTACCAGTTTAATTTGCAGCCGGACAAGGGGGTATCCTTTAGGTCAGCCCGTACCTGTGTAACTTCAGAGAGGAATTCTTTGCAGTTATGGACAGGTGTCTGCAGTTCCGGGTTAGGCAACAGGGTGGCAGGGTTCAAGGTTACGGGATCTGTGAATGTAATCCGAGGGGAATCCAACAAGAGCCCCTGGTAGTGGGTGAGCCTGGCATTCGTCATCCATTTCCCAGGGGGTTGTTTAAGGATTCCCTCCACCGGGTGAGGGGCCGTTACCCAAAGGGCCTGTCCAAAGGTTAATTTATCGGCTTCTCTCACTAGCATGGCGATGGCCACTATGATGCGGAGGCAGGGGGGCCATCCTGCCGCTACTGCGTCTAATTTCTTGGAAAGGTATGCCACTGGTCTCTTCCAGGGACCTAGTTGTTGGGTCAGACTCCTTTGGCTACCCCCTTTTTTCATCTACAAACAGAGTGAATGGTCTTGTAGGATCTGGCAAGGCTAAGGCAGGGGCCTGTAAAAGAGCGTCTTTAGCTGTCAAAGGCCTGTTGTTCTCTCCCCCCATCTCCAATCGGAGCCTCTTTGGTGGCCTCATATAGGGTCTGGCTATCTCGCAAATCCTGGAATCCAGAGTCTACAGAACCCGCGGAGCCCAGGAATTCTCTCACCCCCCTAGTGGATGTGGGGGATGGGATAGCCAAATAGTCTGTTTCATGGCATCAGTCAGCCATCTTGCCCCATCTGCAATCCGATAACCCAATATGTCACTGACCTTTTACAGATGTGGGTTTTCTTGGCACTGCCCGATATCCCAGCTCACCTAATTCCGTTAGCAGGTGTTCAGTAGCCTCTTTGCATTCCTCTCGGGTTTCTGCCGCTAACAGTAAGTCATCAACATACTGTAATAGAGTGACTCGTGGGTGGCTCCGCGAAAGGGTTCCAGGTCCTGGCTCAGGGCCTCATTAAACAGGGTGGGAGATTTTTAAATCCTTGCGGCAGTCTGGTCCAAGTGAGCTGTCCGGATTGGCCCCCATCTCGTGCCATTCGAAAGCAAATAGCGGCTGCTAATTTCTGACAATGGAATGCTGAAGAAAGCATCTTTCAAATCAAGGGTTGTATACCATACTTGCGAGGGGGTAGGTGGCTGAGCAAGGTATAGGGATTCGGAACGGTGGGATGAATGTCCTCCGTCCGCTCGTTTACCTTTCGCAGGTCTTGCACAGGCCTATAGTCCTTGCTTCCGGCTTTGGACGGGGAGCAGAGGAGTATTCCAGGCAGAGACTGACAAGGCCGCAGTACTCCTTCCTTTATTAGCCTGTGGATATGAGGGGCTATGCCTCTTCGGGCCTCCTCGGCATAGGATACTGTTTCACCCGAATGGGGAAGAGGAAGCCTTCAATTGTATAACTACGGGAGGGAGGTGTTTGGCGAGGCCGTTCCCGCAGTCTCTGCCCAGGCCGTGGGAAATCTTTTTACCCAATGGTCATGTCCCCTCCTGGTTCCTGTTGACTCTCAAACAGACGATGCTCGTCAGCCAATGATAGGGACAGACATGAATCGGGCTCCCTTCTCGATCAGTCACAATTATTCCATCTGGTTCAAAATGGATATGGGCCCCTATTTTGGTGAGTAGGTCCCGTCCGAGCAGGGGAGCGGGGCTCTCAGGACGACCAGAAGGAGTGTGTGACCTGGTGTTTTCCTAAGTTTACCTTTCTTTTGGTAGTCCATGTACATAACTGTGTACCGGTGGCCCCCTGAACGACACTTGTTCGTTCCTTGTTCAAAGGTCCATGTGCCTTGTTTAAGACCGAATACTGGGCGCCGGTATCCACCATGAACCCCATCGGCTTCCCCTCCACATGTACTGTTACCCAGACTCGGGGAGGGGGTCGAGCCCCGTCTCCTTCAGTCCTCTTCTCCGGCTAGGAGGACTCTGGCCTGCTCTACTGCTCGTTCCCTTTCCCTTTTTCCCCCGGTCTCCTTCCAAACCCTCTTCTTCCCTTTAACTTAGGGCATTCTCTCTTCCAATGCCCAGTTTCCTTACAGTAAAAACAGTTTCCTTATCCGGGGTCCTGGTGGCCCCCTCCCCTGGGTTGGTCCCGGACACCCGCTAGGAAATACGGCCATTTCTCTTTGTTGCTTTCGGTTTTCCTTAGCCTGGAACTCCCGGTCCTCCTTTCTCAATTTCTCCTGGGCCTCCCTGTCTTCCTTTCTCCTGTTTTCCTCCCTTTCTTCTGGAGTTTCCCTAGCGGTAAAGACCTTCTCTGCTATTTGTAGCATTTCCCTTATGGTCATTTCCCCTAAGTTTTCCTGTTTATTGAGTTTTCTCCTAATGTCTGGAGCTGCCTGATTAATGAATGAATACCACAGCAGACCGGTGGATCTCCGCCTCAGGGTCAATAGGGGTGTACTGACGGTATGCCTCTAGAGGCGCTCTAAGAAACCGGCCGGGCTTTCGTTTTCCCCTTGACGACTGCTTTTACTTTTGCAAAGTTGGTGGGCCTTCTAGCGGCCGCTCGGAGACCGGCCATAAGAGTCTGGCAGTAGATTCGAGACGCTCCCTACCTTCTGCGGTCCCGAAATCCCAATCAGGGCGGCGTAGGGGAAGGAAGCCTCTCTATGGCCGGTTGGAGGTTGTGGGTCTCCCATTATCCCCCAAGACGTTTTTTCTTGCTTCGTGAGGATGCACTCCGCTCCTCCGTCGTAAAAAGAGAGTATTGAGCAGCTGTGACAGTCATCCCATATGGGCGGTGTGTATGCATGAGACTCCAGGAGATCTATGAGACACTTAGGGTCTTCTGAAAAGGGTGGGTTCTGCGTCCTCTAGTTATATAGATCACTGGAGGAGAAGGGCCAGTACTGAAACTGTTGCCCCCCCTCCCGGTCCTCCTTGGCCTACCATCTGGACTGGAAGTGCAGGGACAGTTTCCTCCCCCTGTGTTGATGAGGAGGGCCTGTCTTCCCCCTCCCTTTCCCGAACCCCTCGGGGGTGAAGTCTTCGACCCATTCCTCCTCCTGCTGCCAGTCCTGTTGAGGAGGATGAGGAAATTTCCTCCTCCGGGGCACTGGCTTGGCCAGGGGGAGTCACGTATGGAGGCGGCCGATCTTCCTCTGCCCCTGCGAGGGATGGGTAAAGGGGGGAACTCTCTGGTAAGACCGGAGATGGTAAGGGAGGTGCCCTATTCTGAGGACCAGTCAGGGTGGGAAGAGGAAGTTTCTCCTCCTCCTTTACGACCAAGGCGGGCGTGACTGGGGTTTTAGCCTTCGGAGCCGAACTGGAGGGGTGAGTCAGAAAAGCTGTTAACCAAGGGGGGGGGTTCCTCGCCAGATCCTCCCAAACCATAATGTAAGGGACTTGGTCTGGATGGCCTCGATTGCCTGGCCGAAAAATGACTGCTTTAACCTTAGTGATCATGTCTAGGGAGAGGGAACCTTGAATGGGCCATCCGACTCCAAAGGTGGGCCACTCTGTAGAACAAAAGGTGTCGAACTTACCTTTCTTGATGACCAGACCCGCATTTAAGGCCCTTTCTTTAACTTCTGAAAAGTGAGAAAGGATCAAAGACTTTGGGGTTGTTTGTCCCTGTCCCATTGTGGAAGGAGAATCAAACACCAAGAGAGATAGAACAAAAAGGGTAAAGGCAACAATAATTCCACACACACACACACTCTCCAGCACTCGCTCGGACCGGTCCTTCTCTCACACTGTTGCGCACCCCATTCAACCTCCTCACCCGTCCGACTTGGATATCATGCCGAAAGGCATCCACTTGACGGGTGGTTGGTCGACTAGCTCAATTAGTTCTTCACCTGGCACCAGGAATT